GTTAATGGGGATCAATTTCAACATTCTCTCTTGAAATGATAAATTTTATTTTGTTCCATATTTTAATGGAGTTTGTTTAGTGCACGCAGTTGGCAACGACAGATGCTTACGCATGTGGTTTTGTTTGCGAACTCTTGCAGTAACTACAATGCATTTAAGATAGTAATTACTATTAACTATTATAATAAGATTATATCAGTTTTTTTAAAAATATCTATTTTTCTTAGTTTGTTCTTTTGCATTGAAAAATTCCCCAAAATTGAGAAGTATCTTTCTATCTTTCAACGACGATTTGTTTACGCGGCTGGTCTACAGCACGTAACTCATCGTACAGCACACGGACAGGACCGTTTCAGAGAAAATATTTTGATCCATAATTGAACTTTAATTGACGCAAAAATAGAATTTTTTCGTATAAGACTTTTCTATTACAAATATCGTTACGAAGCTGTAGTTTAATTTTTATAGATTATACACGTCACACCCTGTATACCTATTAAAAGTACAATTATTCCAATTTGAAAAGTCAACAACACGAAATTTATTCAATTCTACTTGTTCTTCCTGAAAACTATTATGATTCTCTATCTGCATTCCTGAATAATCTTGCCACTAGTTCTTACTGATGAAATATTCTTTCTGAAATTTTTAACTTATTAACGATGCTTTTTTCGATATACCCTTCACCCATACTATTATACTGCCATCCTCCATGTTTTTTAAGTGTTTGAATATCAATCAGCTCCACTGTCAGCGAGGAAGGTGGCAGACGTCCTCCTCAAGCAATGGCCAGTGTAACTGGATACATTTGGCAGCTTTAAATATTCTGCAACTCTTTGGGGAATTTTTGTTGACGCATATTAGACCTATGGTAAATTCCAGTTGATTGTATTGTGCACTTACCGTGATTATAATAAATGAAAAATTATTGTGTTCTACTTGTTTGGGTCTCAATTATGAAAAAATTCATACCCTACGGTAAATGCACGTTCCTTTTTGGTTTTGGTATCATGCAAAGTTATAACTAAAATTTTCCCCGTGTCTTCTATATCTTTAACAGTTAAACTGCACAATTCTGCACGTCGACATGCCCCATTTAAAGTAAATATTAGTACCACTCTCATTAATAAGAACTTATCGTCTGGAACCTCTTTTAAAAATATAGTAACGTTTTCCATAGTCAAACCTTTTGATTACTTTGCTTCGTATGTCATTTTGATGTTTTAAAAAGGCAAGTAGCTTATTATGTTATGTGATGTAACCATTTTTTCGTTTATTTGCATAGTACCTACTTTTCAACATGGAATATGTAGACCATAAACTGGTTGCCTTAAGAGATTTTGCCTAAAATAGCGAAAGACATCGTATGAAAAACACTAAAATATGTATAAAAAACAGCTTACCTTCTCAAAAAAATACGCTAGCATTACACTTTCATCAGTTATTAGGGTGTTTTTTGTCATCCTCCCCAAAATATTTCATATACCTTCTCGTATTTTTCCTTGGATTTTCAAGGAAGTAAGTAAGCTCGAAGATGCTTCTCGAGCCGTATTTAAAAGGTCTTCAGAACCATTTTCTAAATTGTTTCAGAGCAAGACTCATTTTTATAATTAATATACAGGGTATTTCTAAAATAGGGTTCCAAATTTCTGCTGCGTTTATAACTCGTTATAATAAGCCAAAAATTTGATTAACTGGAAACTTAAAGTAAACTGTAAAACAATTTCACTCAATTTACTCAATTTTACTCAGTAAATGTGAATTTGCTATCAAATAAATCTTCTAAGACTTTAAAATTCTCACGCATTTCTAAACTTTAAGTGCCATAGTCAAAGATCAAAGACACGCTTTCTATGATAAAATAGAAACGTTGAACGTTGAACGTTGTTTAGCTACAAATAATTAGTACCGAACAGTTTTCTGTAACATAACAGTTATTAATGAAATGATTGTGACTCCTATGAATGAATTTTTATTTGCAACTTTAGCGACAAATCATTTATAAATATAATAAAAGCAAAGGCCCCAAGTTAGAACCTTGCGGCACTTCTGAGGTAGCAATATAGTCAGCTCTACAGAAGGTGTACTCCAGGAATTGTTTTCGCTGTTCAAAATCTAAAATAATTTGGTATTAGAGGCTGTACAACAGATGAAATGACCTTGATATGCTCCTAGTGCATATGCAACCACAGAAACGAAGAAACTAGTGATCAGGCTACAGCTACATTGATAATTTTTTAGGAAGTTATATGCCCTTAAAAGGGCTCAAACAAAACTGTTTTTTTCTGTTATTGACAAAACGGTCGCAAATAAATAGAAAAAAAATGTATGGGTCTTACATAACTTTTTACGTTAAATAACATGGGCTACTCCGTTTTTCGACATGCAAATCATATGCGTCCCATTTAGGTTGCTGAAGGGGGTTTTTGGCCCGTAATTTTTTTTATTTCAATTTTTTTACAATTTTCTGTACAGATTTATAAAATCTTAACAATTTTACGTAAAAAATATTATCGTTGTCTAAATCGATATTTGCAATGGTTTTCGAGTAAATTGAGTTGAAAATTACTCTGCTCTTTAAGTTATTAGGCCAAAAATTACAAAAATCTGTTTACCATGGCAAATAAAAGACTGACGTTGCCAAAACGCTTAACAATTTAAGTTATTGATAAACTGTCAATTGAGCTTTGCAGTGTTTAATTAGTAAAAATGGTGAGTGGAAAATTTAAGTATACAACATTATTGCAACTCATAAAATGGAGTAATATTCAAACACGGAAGTGGCAGATATGCACTTTATGTACGGCCGTGCGGCTAGAAATGCAGCAGAAGCGAGGCGTCTGTATGCGGCAGCATACCCGAATAGAAGACTTCCTTCTCGACAGGTATTTCAGAGGATCCATCGTTTAAGAGAAAATGGTTCGTTACAACCAAGAGTAAATGATCGTGGCAGAGACAGATTTGTAAGAACTCCGGTGAAGGAAGAAAATGTATTGAGAGCTGTGCAGGACAATCCAAGGGTTAGTGTAAGAAGTGTCGCACGTATGCATAACATTAGTTTTTCCGTAGTTTGGCGAATTCTTTGTGAACAACTACTTCATCCTTTTCATATTCAGCGTGTTTAAGCTTTAAATCCGAATGACTACGAACCACGTCGGCAGTTCTGCCTATGGTTTTTGCAAAAATCGAGGCGGATTCCGAATTTTGCATCTCTTATATTGTTTACGTATGAGGCAAGCTTCAGTAAAGATGGTTATGTCAATTTTCATAACGCTCATGAATGTGCTGATGAAAACCCACACAGCATATTTCAGTCCAGACATCAGATTCGGTTTTCCGTCAACGTTTGGGCAGGCATTTTAGGCGATCGGCTAATCGGACCATCTGAGTTGCCTAATCGATTGAATGGTGAGAATTATTACAATTTTTTAGTTAATGACTTGCCAGGACTTTTGGAAGATGTCCCTTTAATTGAACGCCAAAGCATATGGTTTATGCAGGACGGGGCGCCACCTCACTACCTACATAATGTAAGGCAACACTTAAATGAGTTGTATGGAGAAAAATGGATAGGCCGAGGAGGTCCTGTTCCCTGGCCTCCACGTTCCCCTGACCTTAACCCCTGGACTATTTTTTGTGGGGTCAACTTAAGGCAAAGGTTTATAAAATTCCAATTGAGACCATTCAGCAACTATGGGAGGAAATTGAAACCGCGTGCATGGAAATAAGGCAAACACCTAGGATTTTCCAAAGAGTTCACAAATCATTGAAGCGTCGAGCTAGATTATGCATCGAAATGCAAGGTGGTCACTTCGAGCAGTTCTTGTAATTTAACTTATTATTACTAATTTTAATCCCATTATTTTCTATTTCACATTTAGCTATATTGTCTGCAGTAGTAATTATTTCTTTAATTAGTAAATGTAACTCTACATTTAAATAGTTTTAGTTTATGTCCTAAATTATTTATTAAATGATCGGATCCTTCATAACTGCAATTTATTAAAAAAAAGACAGTTTTGTTTGAGCCTTTTTAAGGGCATATAAGATCCAAATCCATGTAAAACATGTTAATAGGAACTTTTTGGCTTATTTTAATGAGTTATAAATGCAGCAGAAGTTTGGAACCCTATTTTAGAAACACCCTGTATAACTTAGGATCAATTCGACTCACAAAAATGAAACTTAACTGTTATTATATAAATAAACAAAATTTTGTCAGGTTACTAGGTTACGGAAATCCTACACAAGTACCTACTATGAAATTTTTTAAATTTCTAACTTTGTAATGCTTTTATATCTATCAGTATTTGCTTATAATTACCTACTAACACAAAATGCGAATAAATAGTATAAATAAATCTCGTACGAAAAGCAATTTTACTAAACTCTATAGCTTTAAGTTACTTTCCTTTTCTAAATTTGTTGTTTAATATTATACAGGATGTTTCACCTAAGAGGGATTCTTCTGTAACTCTGTAACTGTAAAATTTATAAAAAAATGGTTTTAATAAAAGTTGTCTGGAATCATGTGGACCATATTTTTAGCTTTAAAGGGTGTTCCATTTCTCGTAGGCGCTACATAACTTTCTTATTTTAAATGGAACACTCTGTATATTATTGCTTTTAGTTTTGAATTCCTTGATTAATATTAGGTAGAGTTTATTAAATGTACAGGGTGTTTAAAACTTACCGTTTTCCAGATAATCAGTTGTTTTTGAAAAAAAATAACAATTTCAGCTTTCTAAATGAGGCTAGATAGCGTCTAAACCTGCAGTTTTCACAGTTTGTTTTAAAATAAATACTCTATCTCCACACACCCTGTAAAGTTAAATATATTTTCTCTACATGGCCCACATGATTTTAGGCAACTTTTATTAAAACCATTTTTTTAATAAATTTTGAAGTTGCAGAGTTATAGAAGAATTCCTCTTAGATGGAACACCCTGTATACTATTAATACTCAATAAAGGTAGAAGCTATTTTTTTACTTTACTAACCTTGCGTGGAGCCTGTCGGTGGCGCCTCTGTAGCTGGCAGCACAGCCCCCTGGAGATGTCGCACTCGCTGGACATGTTGCATGGTTCGGAGTACTGCTTGTCTTGATGCACGGGCGGTCGGCACACCCTTGTGGACACACCACCATCCGCCTCGGCACACACCAAGCCCGATTCGCAATCACTGTCCCGCCGGCAGAGCTCACCCACACGGCGACCGTAGGCAAACAAACAGGAGCCCATTACTGGAAAAAAACCAAAGAATCTATCTAATAAAATGTATTAGATTGACAGACCAGTACTATAGTCGAAATAGACACATTTATTTAAATATTTCGATTGAATGTTTTCAACAACATTCACACGAAATTTAGCACTGTTACCTTTACTGGTTAGTCGAAGATAAAAGTAGAAAACAAACAGATCTCTTTTGCCAAATTCTTAGTTCTTTAATCTACAGTATGCGCGTATACATATTAATACTAAGTTGATTGTACAGTGACGAGTAATTGTATGATGCATGCTTGCACCACGAATTATCACGCAAGTGATAACCTTGTATATTAATGTAGCCAAATGTACAATAAATTTCTCCTCCAATTTTAACCAATTAGAAGAATCAAAAAGTGGTGTAACATGATCATACTTCCGAACACCATAACAAAATTTTAGACAAGCACTTTGTAATTTCTGGAGGCTGTTTTTGTCTTTAACAGTAAGTGCTGGCCAGTACAAAATATCGCAGTATGTTAAAGTTGAGAGAATTAATGTGTCAGTTTAAGTTTAATTGCAACTGATAGATAATCTTTATGTATGTACAGGGTGGTTGATTTTCGATAGTTTTATAGGGTACAGCCAAAACGGTGACAGATACAAAAAATCTGATATCGATGTCCCGTCCTCTTTCTTTGAGTTTACTAAGCTGGTACCAAAAAATCTTGGCTAACTTGATTAGTTTTAGATATACAGGGTTTTTTTGAAAAATGGCCCATTTACATTAACCTCTCTATCTCCGTTGAATAAAAAATTTATAGATATTTTTTCAGTGGCCCATGAGATTTGTTTAGTATTGGTCTCTTCGTTTTCTATTATTATTTTTATATTAAGCACCTAACTTAGACTAAAAAATTAAAAGAAAAAATAAATTAGATTATCCATTTATCTTTACTTAATAGGTTTAATTATAGGTACACTTATAACTATTATCTAAACATAAACTAAACAAAAATAACAACTATAAAATGAGAGAAACAACAATAAAACAAAAATGACATAACAAAGTCACAGCAAGTGCTCGAATTGTCGGCCATTTTCGTTGATACATAACTGACAACGTTTGGCAATGGAACGGGTCGCATTGTAAATGTGAATATTTGACACCCGCTGAATATAGTTTTCAAAATGTTCCCTTAGCTCCTCGACATTATTAGCTCTATACTTATAAATTTTGTCTTTAACATCCCCCCAAAAATAAAAGTCTATAGGGGTTAGGTCTGGTGACCTAGGCGGCCACCTGTTTGGTCCGTACGTACCGATCCAATTGTCCCCGAAATTATGATTTAATAATTCTCTAACTATGTGGGAATTATGTGGAGGCGCACCATCATGCTGAAAGAACATATTATATCGTTGAGCTAGTGACATATCGTCCAGCAGTTCAATAATATTTTCTTGTAAAATTCTCACATATCTCTGAGCGTTAAGGTTTTCATCGTACATTTCGTAAGCTAACACTCTATTGTGGAAGAGAGCTACCCATACATGAAAACCAAATCGCCCTTGTTGAATTCTGGCCACAGTTTGGTGAGGATTAACATCTGACCAATAACGCGCATTATGCCGGTTGAATATACCTTCGCTGCTTATAAAAGCCTCGTCGGTCCAAATAACATTTTGAAAAAAATTGGGGTATACATGAGTTTGCTGCAAAAACCATTGGCAGAAAATGATGCGTCTCTCTTCATCTCCTGGATGCAAATGGTGGACTTTTCTTATAGTATATGGTCGAAACTTGTGTTTTTTTAAAATTCTCAATGCTTTGAATTTACCAATTCCTATCGTTCTTTGAATTTCTCTGCTGGATACGTTGGGATTTGCGACAACAAAAGCTAAAGTATTGATTTCATCATCTTCTCTATTCTGTATATTATAAGATTTAGCTCTCGGTTTTTGAAAAGAACCAAACTCACACAAATTATCATAGAGTCGGCTAAAAATTCTCTTTTCTGGCTGATGACGCTCTGGGTATCTCTCCAAATATAAGTTTAAAGCTGTGTCACTATTTTTTTCACTTTCAATGTAACACTCTAACATTTGAACTTTGTGAAGATTTTCGTATACCATTTTTATACTTTTCAAAATTAAAACCAAGTAATAGACGTTTAACAAGCTTTCAATCAGTCAAAAATAAACTAACTGTCAATATTAAACAACAAAAGACGAATAAATAAATAACATGGCCAACTGAAAAAATATCTATATCTACATTTTTTGCATTTTTCTTCATTTAGGCAAATAAAAAGTATCTATTATTATATATGGCTGAAAAGGTAAAAAAAATGCTACTCAACGGGATGACCAAATACAGGGTGTTCTATTTAAAAAAAACCTATGTTTATGCAATATCGGAGAAACTGTGCGATTTGTAAAAAATCTGAGTACGCCAATGGCTTCCTAATAAAAAATAGAACAAATAATGTACATACTTTTTTCTTCTAAATTGAATGACAACGGAGATAGAGAGGTTAATGTAAATGGGCCATTTTTCAAAAAAACCCTGTATATCTAAAACTAATCAAGTTAGCCAAGACCATTTGGTACCAGCGAAGTAAACTCAAAAAAAGAGGACGGGACATCGATATCAGATTTTTTGTACCTATCACCGTTTTGGCTGTACCCTATAAAACTATCGAAAATCAACCACCCTGTACAGCATTTTGAGTTTATAATAACACTTCTGTAATAACTGTGCCATATGTGTCTCATACCTTAGACGAGAATCGACATATACACCCAGATTTTTTTACACATGTGGAAATTAAGTCAACTCCATTTATTTTGATTTTGAAATTATTATTGTTCTGCAGTTCTTGACTACCAAATTATATTAGCTGGGATTTTGTTTCATTTAAGACTAAACCATGACATTCTGATACTTCAGCAATTTTATTTACATCTTCATTAATATTATTTGAAGCCACATGTGAGTTTGTTAAAGAAAAATAATAATAAATTTGCTTATCATCTGCGTACTGATGTGAATTACAAAATGAAAAACATCGGCAGTATATAAAGCAGAAAGCAGAGGGCTCAAAATACTTCCTTGAGGCACACCTCTATTTAATATAACATAATCTCAAAAATAATTACCGAAACTGACCGTTTGCGACCTTCTAGGTAACTGGATATAAATTTTAACGCGTTCTCATCTAATCCGAAGTATTTAAGTTTTAAGTGAAAAATTCTATGATTTAAGGTATCGAAAGTCCAATAGTATTAAACATGTATTTAATTTATTGTCTGAGGCACGAAATATATCATCCGTAATATGGAACAAAGCTGTTGATGTGCTGTGTAAAGAACGAAAACCCGATTGCGTAGGAGGAATAACTTTATTACTAAGAAAAAAATCACTTAATTGTGCATACACAACCTTTTCCAGTATCTTTGATATAGTAGGCAAAATACTAATTGGACGAAACTGATTTGTTTGAGAGGGATTATTTACTTTAGGTATGGGTATAATAATAGCATTTTTCCAAAAAGATGGAAATTTAGCTGATACAAGGCAGCTGTTCACGATATGTGTGATATAGCTAGTAAGAAAAGGTGTAACTAATAAGATCATCTTGAGATTTATGCCATCTGTGCCAGTAGAGTTAGATTTAATTTGCGATAATATTTTTTCGATACATTTTTCACTCACTAATGTGAATTGAAACTTATGGGTAATATTTGAAAAAAAATTATTAGAATAGGTGTCAGTAATAAAATTATTGTTACTTGAATTTAGAGGAGGTATGCTATTAACAAAATACTTATTAAAAGATGATGGACTACTAATATCACCCGGGTAAACATAAGGAACAGAATTTATATTTAAATACCTCAAAGTGCGCCAAAACCCCTTTAGATCAACCGCAAACTTATGTCGAAGAAAGGCCTTATTTTCATATCTGGAACCGTAAGGAAGGTCCACTTTAGAACTTGACGGACTCATCTCTAAGTTCAAATGTCAACTTTGGTTTTCCCAGGATAAGAAATCAGAACAATGCATCTGGCCAGTACGAACTACTATCCCAAATATTCACTAGTATTGTAGGTTTGTAGGTATTGTATATGTTTGATTGCATATTAAAAAGTCCATACTTTGTTAACCAAATATTTCAAATAATCATCATCAACCGGTACAAGAATTTCTCCCTACCGATCTTCTCCAAAGAGTTCGTCTTTGTGAATGTCGGAGCAATCATCTGGTTACTCTTTCAAGTACCCTTTTCTGAAACGGAGCTACATTTACAAGAGATGGAATCAACAATTTCCACAACGAACTTGTGTGGGCAATCGAAAACCCTAATCATGGGCGTAGCTAGGATTTTTGCTGGAAGTGGGCTCAGGGTTGCTGCAAGCTCTACGCAGGTCTCCAAAAAAAAAGGTGGCGCAGTCAGGGACTTGTCGATATGAGATGATGATATTATTGGATTTTTTTGGGATGGGTATCGGTCTTTCAGGGGCCGTGCACATCCCTGCTCCCCCCTTAGCTACACCCTCGTGCTATTCGAGAAACTCATTTTCAGAGAAGAATCTGTAAGCGTTTGGGCTGGAATAATTAGTGAAGTTTTTGACCACATTTCTTCGACGGAAATTGGAACAGCGAGATGTACCGGGCTCTTTTGGACGATCTATCTCTACCACTTCAGGACATTCCTCTTCAAATCAGAAGAACGATGTTCTTTTTACATGAGGGTGCACCATCTCATTATGGAAGAGATATCACTCAAAGAAAAGTATCCAAATCGATGGATATGTCATGATGGCCCCATTGCCATAACCACAGCGATTTCCGGATCTCAACCCGTTGGACTTTTCCATTGCAGGGACCAACTCATTGAGAAGATTCATACAGCGTTTGATGAGATGAAAAACAATATGGATAACTACAACTAGGAACGCGAACTTCGACAGAGGGTTGAGTTATCCATTGCATCAGGCGGTGATCATATTGAGCAGTACCTACAACTGTTTT